CGGAACAAGCCGCTTTTCGAGGCGTGGGCTTGCTGGTTTTTAAAGGAACAGACCGAGAGGCGGAGGGAGGGGGGTTGGGAGGATGCGCTTTGACAAGTGTGTGCGCGAGTCTTCAAGGAGGAAGTTTCACACACCAACCCTGCGTGCTTTTTGTGCAGAGCTGTAGAGGGAAGTAGAAAGGCGGAAGAAAAGGCATGCTTTATTTAGATCTGAATTCACTGGCATTCTCATATGGGTCCATAAGGCTCATTTTCCAGGGCGGCAGGATAACAGGGGGTGCCACAAGCTTCTGGGTTACTAAATACTGAAAATTTCCTGAATCAAAGGGATATTTCTCAGTTTTTCACCAAAGTTTTGTCACACCACGCCGCTCGACCCTGGCTTCACATTCAGATACATTACAAGATGCTTACTTATGAAGCTTTGAATTAGACATAGGCAATAAATCAATTTGATCAATTTTTTATTTTTTGTTTGTTTGTTTTTAAAGATTTAAGTTTAGGACAATTAAGATTTTTCCACTAATGCACTCCTCAGATTTCCAAGAATCTCAACCATACCATCTTGTTTGACAAGCGTGTTTTGTAGCTTCTAATTATTTGGACTTTGAATTCATGTCAACTCACAGAAGGAATGATTAAAATAAAAGCCAGTTTTTGAAAATATTTTTTTGTCTTTTGTAATTTTTTTATGCATTCATAAAAGCAGGGGGAAAAAACTATCAAAATCAGACCTCGAATTTGGAATAAAAATGGTAAGAGATTTGGATTTTAAGTAATATCACCAAGGCCTACTTTGAATGGACAAGAACTACATCTGAGAACCTTTAAACCCATGTATTCATTGCAGGTCCCTGAGGTGACCAGGGTTTGCTGACTGTGCAAAGCTAAAAACTAAAAGGTAGCAAATTCAGCAGTAGCACCAAGAATTTGGAAAATGCTACTCTTGTTTGAATCCTCTAGACTCTGTGATTTTTTTTTATTTTAAAAAAGCAACTAAAAACTTTTTTTTTGTAATTGTTTTTGCTAACTGCATGAATATGTTGTTTAATTTGTTTTTAGAGGAAGGCAGAGTGCACATGAACAGAGAGAACATGCAAACTCCATGCAGAAATACCCTATCGCTTGAATTTTAATCCAGGACTTTCTTGCCGTGAGGTGAAGGGACTCCCAGGAGTACTTCAGTTGTTCCAGAAGTCGGGGTTTACAAACTTGTGTGGACCACACGGTTCAAATCTGATGTAATCCACTGGGCTTGATTGTATCGTAATCTAATTTGGATCGTATTCAGAAGTAATTTAATTTACTTTTGAATGTGACTATATGATTGGCTATATATTATTTTTTTTTACCTGAATATGTATTTTATGAATTGCAAACGTAAAATGCTTTAAGGTGACGTCTGTTTTCATTTCTCCTTTCCTATGTATGGACCTGCATTGTATTGAATAAAGACGTTTAGTAACCTAAGACTGTAGCTGGGAATACAACCACGGGCTGTGCAGCTGCCACTGACTACCTCATCAAAGCTTTAATCCTATTATCAGGATATAGTTACCTTGTAGATTATAAATCCCCTTCAACCCCATTCATTTTTCAAACTTGCTTTGTCTCCCTCAGGATTTTGTGGAGGATCATTGTATCCCATTGTTTATGAGGTCAGAGGCAGGCAGTTAGCAGCCATATCACGAGGTCACAATCATCTACACTGAAATCTAAGGATGTTGTAAAATCTCCAGGTACTCTAATATGCATATTTGTAGACCGTAGGAGGAAGCTGGAGTGGCTGTCGAAAGCCCTAAGGGGAGAACACGGAAACTTCACACAAAAAAGGAAACCCGAAAAACCTTTATGCTGAATCATTCCAGCTTATTTCTTTACATTTGGCTTTTAAGCACCAAATGTTGTTGCATTCCTTCTCAAGGCTTTCCCTGCATTTTTTTTAATTCTATTTTCAGTTCAGTATCTTTACTTTATTCTTCTTAATTTATTTTAAAAGGCTCTACAACTTAAGGGGTAAAACAATGTGACTTCTACCCCTAACATCCAGCAAATTGCTCAAAATGCAGCTTGGGTCGCCTCTGAAAGGTTTTTGCAAAGAGTGGCCGGAAAAATAAAAACAAAGCCATAGTTTAATTAAACATTGCATATGCATACATAAACAAATTAATGTTGCAACTCATCAAAGTATAAAAGACTGTCTGGCCAGCGGGCGCCACTGTCCCAAAAAGATTGAATTAACAAAGGGTGGTTTAAATAAATTATTTTAAAATGATTAGTCCCTCTATTCGTCTTTCACTCCTGCACCCCTTGAACATTTTTCATATTAAAACCACAAATACCAGTGTGTTTTATATTAACCTTATGCAACAAATCAACACTATAATTGTGTATGATTGCGAAAGAGGGAGAAAGTGATTTATCATTCAAGCATTTTTAACAAAATATAAATAAAAAATCTTTGAAAACTGTGTTGTGCTTTTACATTTAGCGCACCTCCGGATTCAATGTTTTTTTTTTTTCCAGATTGTGCTGTAGTTACTACAGCAGGTGATATGATGGATCTCCACAAACAAAATATTTTTTTCCAATCTTAAATAGCTCGGTCAAACATCAGTCTATAAGCCATGTGAGTCCCAGCTGTGTGCACACTTAGAGAGCCATTAGTTGCCCACTGGCTACTGCATTCAGCGAGATAAGTGACAAGGACATTTCTGGGTCAGTAGGATAACCGAGAAATTAAACGAGACATGTGAAAGGAAGAAAAGGGGTTAAGGAGCATAGAAACCCTCTCAGCCGTTTAACCTCGTCGTCATGCTTAGCATAGTTCGCACAATATCAGAGGGGTCAAAAAGTGAAACAATGCCAGTAGTGAAGACGCATTTGAAGATGAGCAAAAATGTTTCATGGTTTTGTGAAGAATTAACTTTTATTCTGTACATTTGCTGGAACCGTGGGCCGAAATTGATCACTTTAAAGCACTCATAAGCCTCAAAATGTTGATTTACGTTTAAGCTGTAAAAATAATTGAATTGGTATTTTTAAGATTATTTTTACCTGTTCAACAATAATGTAAACATGCAATATTTTAACTATATTGTTATTTTGGCCTAACATTGATTTTTGATCAATATTTCTCAATAAAAAAAATCATTATGTAGACTTTTTTTGGCACAACCTGTGTGGAAGTACATCATTTTTTTTCCCTTTGGAAACAGTAAAAAAAAAATATTTATTTTGGAAAAAAAATATGTGTATTCATTTTCACAATAACTACACATTTATTGGGTATTTATAGTACACAATAAATGTATATTGTAAATATGCAATACACATTTATTGCATGTTAGTCACTTTAAAACCCACATGTAATTATAAAGAATGGTTTGCATCATTTGGAATTTCAATATACACTGTACATTTCTAAAACTAGTGTAAAAATATTACATGCAACAAGGTTTTATAAAATTATTATAGAAATCGTTTAATATCAAAGATCAAAACAAGACACCAGAAAATGTGCAATTGTGCCACATAAATTATACTGCTAGCACGACCTTATCAATATTTGTATAAATATGTCTCAGTAATATTCCAGAAATATTACTTTGTTTTCAGTAGGCTTGACAGTGACAGGTAGATGAGGAGACCGAGACCTTTAGCATATCTTCCACTTCTGTATTTCTTCCCTAATAACTTATTTTATACTTCTGTTGCTGTTGGTGGTGATTGTCTTAACTGCTTCAGTGGCAAAATTAAAAAAAAAAAAAAAAAATGGGGTTGGGGGTATAAGAAGAAAGCGTTTCTACCTTGACTCCCGGTGTTCGCAGTGGGTGAAACATGTTTGCTAGCTGCTTCTTTCGAGCAGCTAGCAAGCAGAGCGGCTCTGCCTTATCTCGTGGTGATCAACACTTTGCAGCCACGCAACGCCGCCGTTCCTCTGCTTGGATCTCCGGATACCTGCCTCTGAACCTTCCAGGACCCCACTTTACTCTTCATGTTTCTAAAACTAATTATCTATCCGCCACATCATCATCGAAATGCCCTCTGTTCTGTCTCAAGACTCCGGCCGCGAGTTTTCCCTCTTCCTCTTGCAGCTGAACACAGAACGCCACTGCCTGCTGGATGTTTTGCACATCATTCCTTATGTGCAAAACAAAAACCACTAAACTGCAAACAAATTACGAATTGGGTGTCACGGATCGCTCCAATATCAAAACTTTCCGCCAATTTCGTCATCTCACTGTTTTTTTTTTCCCGCTACTCCTTTCGCGCCGCTAGTCCCTATCCCGCTTCTCGTCTTTTCGCGTTACTTGCGTAACGTTCCTCGTCACTAAGCAAAAGCGTTTTTTTTTCATATATTCTATAAATATGTATATATTTTTTTTTCTTTTTCTTAGTAACAGCACATTTGCTTTCATATTCTCAGGATAGCACTGTCTTTAACATTTCTATGATATTCTGGGGGGGGGGAGGGGAGCTAAATTATTTTAGCATAACTCCAGTTTTACTTGGCATATCAGCAATTTAAAAAACGGGTGTGAGGTTAAATAAAATCTCCACTCTTAAGTTCAAGTTGAAATGAGACTCCGGGAGGCGGATTCTTGGGGCTTCGCCTTCCCAAGCCACAAGGGGCAGCATGGTGAAAAACGTATTTATTTATTTATTTTGTCACCATGTTATTCCTTCATCAAAAACATACCTGGAGTATTACTTTGTTTGGTTTATGCATGTTTGAGACATCCATGAATCTCCCGAGGTAGCACTGGAAGTGCAAAAAGGGATTGATTTCACCATGCTCCTCATTTTCCACGCAACAACTCCTACTCTCCTTGGAGCTGCAGCCTGTCTGCTGTGATGAACCCTCCTCCCTCCCAACACCCTCAATTAAAGAATAAAACAGCTACAGCAGACACAGCGTGTGCATTTGCTGCATTTCACAATGACTAAACAGTGGAAAAACTTTCATTTAAATTAAAAAAAATATAACAAAAGACAGAATAAGGAGCTCATCAAGCTTTATTATTAGAACATGCACAAATGAATGGTGTGCAATGTATAATTGAATTTAAGCTGTTTAATTTAGGAATGTGCATAGTGAGTGAATAAAATATTCAGCGATGTCAAGCACAGAGTCTGTAATAGGTAATCCTGCTTAACTTGGAACACCAAAGAATTCACAACTAAATGAAAATAACCTTGACAATAAATATCTAACATGAAAAAACCTCTGAGATATGAGGCCCACACTCTTGTCATCTTTGGAATCCTATATAACATTTTACAGATTTTTTTTTCAGTCCCTCAAAAAAAAAGGTATCTTTTTGCATGTGCATGTTTTTCTACAACTGAAGTTGGAATCAGATTTCCAAAGACGACGAAAAAAAAAAAAAATACAAGGAGCCAGAACTAACAGCAGTAATCGCATTTTAATCCTAACTTGCACCTCCAGCCTTCTCCAGCACATCTGTCGGGCCATTTTTCTCTCCCTTTAGGCCTGTAAAATGTGACTTGTTCGTTGGGTTCAGACTACGCTTGTACCCTGTGTGCAGGTTGAGGTGTTCTTGCAGCGAACCCTTTTGGATGAACGTTTCATGGCACAGTGGACACCTGAAGGGCTTGACATCAGGGTGAACACGTATGTGCCGGGTCAGTTTGCTCTTCTGGGAAAAGCCCTCCCCACAGACCAAACAGGAATACTGTCTGTGTTCCTTCAGGTGGCCCATGTAGTTCTCAAGGTGCTGGAAGATTTTGTCACACTTCCTGCACAGGTATGGTCTCTCAACTAGGATGCTGTGTGAAGCCTCTAGTAGTACATCTTCGCCAGGCTTTGTGGAGTGTGCCTCGGGGAGGTTAGATATTTTGGAATCTATCAGGACTCCTCCATGTTCCAGTTGAGCTTTGTGTGAATTATCTTGTTTTTCTTCATGTCCTACTTGTTCGTGTTGTTTTTGGGAGATGTCCACCAGCTTTCCGTGATCTGCAGCACTTCTAATCTCTAAAGCCCGGAATGAAATGAGGTCTCGATAAACTTCATCCTTGAGAGCTGCTGTGGGGTTTTTCACACCTTGCTCTGACTTCAAGGTGTCAAGCTCAAATTTTTGATCCTCTGTTGACTCCAATTTAGGTTTCACAAACTTCATGTCTTTTGTAGTCACATTAGTCTTTTCATTATCCACCTTAGATTCTTGGCTGACCCCATCCATGGCTTGACCAATAGCCACTCCTTCTTCCTTTGTCTTAACTTCCTGGATGCTGGTGCTGGGCTGGGCCACATCCTTTTCCCTCCGATTTTCAAAACTGGAACATAGCCAGCTTCTCTCTGGCTGCTGGTTTTCAGTTTCCTTGGAGCAACTTGCAGGTTTATTGGAAAACATAATGGGTTTAAGGAACTGCAGCACAGCTTGACTGCATTTCTCTACCACCTCGCTCATCTGGAGGATGCTGGCTGCGCTCAGGTAACTGACCAGTTCTGCCAAAGGTACCTGAATAGCAAAAAAAAAACAAAAAGGAAAACCAAACATTAATTGCATACAATTATCAATTCTGGTGAGATTACCTGTCTCTGATAAAGAAAAGCCTTTAACAGCAGAAGGAAGCCTCTATGTTTCACCAACCAGATGGTAAGGTCAATAAACAATAATAGGAGATCATCAGGTATGACCGCTTTCCTTTTTCCTGTTGAAAAAAAGCCTTGGGGATGGTTTGTTGAAGACACTTAAAACACAGTTACAAGATCTCGAATACAAAATATCTTTATCATGTCAGGATGAACAACTCACATTGACTCTTAAACATGGCGGTGGAGGGAGTATGGTTTGGGCTGGAGGACTTTTTCATTGTGCAACTTGCAGTAACTGAATCAAACACACCATTCAATGAAATCAAAGTGGACAAACAAGCAGTGACACAATGTTGTTTGAAAGGGAGTTTCCTAAAGTTCTTCTACCTCAAAACGGCAGACTGATAAAGTCAGGCCTATAGAACCTGCTGCTTCTAAATGCGCTTATACAAATGAGATGTTGTTTTTTTTTACCCATGACTGCATCTCTGCTTACTGAGTACTGCACCTCGAGAAGTCCAGTGTAGCAGGACAGCAGCAGCGTCTTTGCCACTCTCGTGCTGGAAACTGCAGCCACACTCATCTCTGCCTGGTCTTCGTGGAGCAGGAACTGATCACGGAAGAAATCAGAGGATGCTGCAAGCACCACCCTGTGGCCGTGGAAGTGGACAGACTGGTCCGCAGAGGTGTTTGGGCTTCCTAGGACGAGCGTGATGTCACAGAACCGATGGTCTTCTCTTAGAGCATTCATCTTGTGCAGGACGGAGTTCCCATGGGCAGGCAGACTGAAGTACAGAGTGTCGCAGGAGCTTGACATGATGATCTTCCGTTATCTAGGGTGAATAGTTAGATCACAATTTTACTTTTTAAAGACTCTGTTGTGAGTCAAAATTATTTCTTTCAATTGTATTGTATCAGTTACGGTTGAAAAGCTAACATTGATTCAACATGTAAGTCACCAGCCACTGTTTGTTTTATTTAAATATCAAAGCTTCAACATGGATTTAATATTTCAGCCATACCATATTTCAATGTTGATTCACTCATATTTTACTGTCTTGGTAGGTTTGCAATCACTTGCTTATGGCAGCGTAATACAACTTCATACAGCGATTATAAGAACTGTATTTTTGAAAAGAATTGAAAACCATGTATTAAACTCTTTCTTCCCCACAATTATGCAACACTTTGTTTTGGATTATTGCACAAAAAATACTGTTGCAAAAGTAGTAGTTAAAAGCTATTTTAAGTGTGTGTAATTGACTTTAAGTTACAGATATGGTTCACATAATTAAAGAAACGGCAAAATAGAATTATCAGGCACACGGATTTAAAGAAGCAGCCCCACCTTGTTCTGCAGGGTAATCCAGGTATAGTAAACAAAACGACGCTTCTTCAACTTTATTGGTAGAAAAATTAACTAAATGACTTTTTTTCAGATTTTATGCACTTGAAACTGGAAATTGCTGCTAATAGTCCCTGCATGCAGGAGGAAAAAATAATCTCCCATCTCTGAGGAGTCTGCCTGACTCTGCGATCCATCTGCTCTGTACTGCAGACTCAAGAGATTCTGATCGACTCTGAAATCCTTAACTCTTTCAGTGCTTTGAATAGGCCACAGCTGACTCTTCTGGACCAGCAGGGGAAGGCGTGCAATACCCCAAATGAACCACATGGTGGTGGTATTGCTCAGCAATATACTTACCACGTACACTCATTCGCTTCAGACTGCAACTCAACACTCAAAAAAATGAACTTAGGGGGTTATTACATTAACAAAAGAAT